GATAGACTCGTATTCCGTCCAGTGTGGGCCCTGAGATAGACTGGTATCCCATCCAGTGTAGGCTCTGAGATAGACTGGTATCCCGTTCAGTGTGGGCCTTGAGATAGACTCGTATTCCGTCCAGTGTGGGCCCTGAGATAGACTGGTATCCCATCCAGTGTAGGCTCTGAGATAGACTGGTATCCCGGCCAGTGTGGGCCCTGAGATAGACTGGTATCCCATCCAGTGTAGGCTCTGAGATAGACTGGTATCCCGGCCAGTGTGGGCCCTGAGATAGACTGGTATCCCATCCAGTATGGGCCCTGAGATAGACTGGTATCCCCATCCAGTGTGGGCCCTGAGATAGACTGGTACCCCCATCCAATGTAGGCCCTGAGATAAACTGGTATCCCATCCAGTATGGGCCATGCTCTATGCCCTCTGCTTTCTGGGATAGGCTGCAAGGTAAGCATGATCCTGTACTGGAGAACTGGTTATGGGAGAAGGGTGGATAATTATTTTCCTAAAAGCATGAAACAAAACTTATTTTGTAAAGACATGTTCCATGTATACTGTGAGTACAATATGTAGGAAGACTTTCTATACTATTCTACATATTACATGGTTCTTGCTCGATATCTGACCTGTGATGTCAGATGGTTCAGCCTTGAGCTTATTCCACATGGAAAACAAAACTTTTTAGCAAGCATGCCTCCTGACAATCTTAAAAATTAGTTAATTTGTACTCATTAAAAGCTTAAAAATGCATGAATAAATAATGATTGAAGAGAAAATGTTGTTTTTATTTTTTCTAAAATAGCCTAGATAAGTATTCTTTAAAAAGCTTGTTTGTACATTTGCCCTCCCCCAGTTTCCGATATAGACAGTCCACAATCTCCCGGAGATCAGACTGAACACAGGGAAAAGAAGCTTGTTCAGTTAGACGTTTGAGGCGAAAGACGCTGTGGCTTAATGAGGGGTGCTGCTGTGCTCCCTACTTTGAATCTGCATGCAAGAAGAGCCCGGAAAAAAACTAGATAAAGAAGAGAGAGAAGAACCACAAATGCCAATCCCTGTGGTTTAATTATTTTAATTATCATCTTCTGTTTGATTCCATCCCCCCCCCAAAAAAAATTAATAAATAAATATGGTCCTTTAAAAGATGCTGGTTTGGGTTAATCTGATTAAAAACTCTGCTGGTGAGGAAGATAAAAGGCCAGCAGTGTCAGAATTAATCAACAGACTTAAAACTGACATTTCTGATGGGGAACTTTGGTGCTTTATCTCTCCACTTTCTGCCTGAAATGATCAGGATTGGTAGCTCTGACAATTAACTGTGGTTTGAATCAGGTGTGGTATCTCTGAGTATTAACTGCGGTTTGAATCAGGTGTGGTAGCTCTGAGTATTAACTGCGGTTTGAATCAAGTGTGGTAGCTCTGAGAGTTCACTACCTTAGAAATCCGTTGTGGTAGCTCTGAGTATTAACTGCGGTTTGAATCAAGTGTGGTAGCTCTGAGAGTTCACTACCTTAGAAATCAGTTGTGGTAGCTCTGAGGATTAACTGCGGTTTGAATCAGGTGTGGTAGCTCTAAGAATTTGGTGCTGTTTGGATCGGTTGCAGTAGCTCTGAGAATTCATTGCCGTAAATACCAGTTGTGGTAGCTCTGAGAATTCACTGGCGTATGAATCACGTCGCAGTAGCTCAGAGTCCACTACCCAATGAATCAGGAGAGGGTAGAATTCATTGCTGTATGAAACAGTTACAGTGGCTCTGAGAATTCACTGCCATATGAATCAGGTGTGGTACCTCTGAGAATTCACTGCCATATGAATCAGGTGTGGTACCTCTGAAAATTCACTGCCATATGAATCAGGTATGGAATAGGCCCTTAGCCAGAAATATATTTCGTATTTCTGGCGGGTCAATTTCACCAACCAGGGAGCGGAAACAAATTTCGGGGTGGAGGGGAGTTCAAACCTGTAATTTTATTATGTGTCCCTGTGCCTGGTGCAATAGCTTGAAAATACATGTGTTTTACATCTGTGTATCTGAGAATGCATTCTGCCCCACATCATGGAGTCCCATCACTTTGATCAGTTTCTCTTTTATTAAGCCATTCTCAGGTTCGAAACACATAAATATGTCTGCTACACTTAAGCAATCAGAAAGAGACAGAAGGTAATAGTAAACAATTCAGAGGATTTGATGGCAGTTTAGAGTCTGTAAATGAGAGGATTGCATTGAACAGAGAGGACCTCACGTAACAGCAAAGCCACTGAGAGCTTCAATGGAGGGAAGCGGGAATGCAGAGTCTGGCAGTGCGTCTGATGATCCGCCCCCCGCCCCGCCCCCGCAGCCCCCCCGCCCCCGTGGCTGAGCTCCCCTGCTACCGGACATGAGCTCTTTCCTCAAGGTGATACTTCAAAGTGGCTCACAGACAGCGTGAGCCTGGCAGCCGGCATGTAGGTCCCTCCTGATCATGCTCCAGCCCCACTGGGCCGGGTTACTGCCAAGTTTCACGCCATTTGGCCTGAGGGACCCTCATCCCTTCGCCCTTAATGCACTAAATCCCATCTCATTACCAAATCAAGCTGAGAAAGTCAAGCTGCAGCGTTTTACAGCATTGAAATGTACAATGACGTCGTCCCATGTGAAAGAAAGGGAGGATAAAGGTGGATTGACAGGCAATACCACAAAAATGGATTCCCTTCCATGGCATGAGAATTTTTATTGTGCTTCTCCTCCTCTATAGGAAATCCCTTGTGAGCTTTGGGTCAAGTTGATTCAACAGCGTCTTTCAAAACTGGACTGCATTCGACAAGTAAGGCCGCCCCTAACGTCTAGCATTTGGAATCTTCTACACATATACACACATCCCATAAGTGTATTATTCTTTTTTCATTTTTGTGCTCCTCCAAATTGCTACCTATGTCAGTGAAAATTAAGGATCGGGATAGTGAAAGGTGGGTTTCAAATGACTTGCGAGCTTCTCTGCACAATTCTTTTTGTTGGAAATGCTGTAGCAATAAATTATATATTAGAATCTTTAAAGTCTTTAAAGCTTCATTATTTACTGTATAGTGTGAATCCATCATCCATCCATCATCCAGAGTCTTGGAATTTTTTTCCTTTAATGTATTTAAGACTAATTGATACACTAATAGCAAGTGACTTCATTGGACAAGTTCAATTAATTACATGTGGACACAAGGTGGTCCCACCAACTCCTGTGACAGTTTGAATTAGAACCTAGTCAACAGCAATTTTTGACAAATTTGTGCAAAAAAAATAATAATTTCATGAAGTGAAGTTCTCTTCAGTTGAGGAGAAATGGAGGTGCTGTTGTGTTCCCTTGGCTTGAATAGTGGTGTTGAAGAACCAAATGAGGTCATCTGTGATGTACTTACCAAGAAACTTGGTGTTTCTGGTTGTCTCTATAGTAGATCCGTTGATGGAGAATGACGAGTGATCAGTATGGGCTTTCTTGAAGTCAACAGTCATCTCTTTCATTGTATCCACCTTTAGATAAATTGATGCTCTTGCCCCAGCCCACTTGCCACTCAATGTCCACTCTATACAATGACTAATCACTGTTCCTGATGGGGCCCACCATGCTCAGTATCACCAGCAAACTTGATAATGTGGTTTGAACTGAGCTGGGCAGTGCAGTTCTGAGTCAACAATGACCAGTGACCTGAGCGTCTCTCTGGGGAGTGCCAGTGCCCAGTGTGGAGGTATGGAGATGTTGCCAATCCACGCTGCCTGAGGTCTTTTGGTCAGGTTCACCATATCTATCTTCTTGCTGAAATACATTCCAAGAAGATTTTTCTTGCATAAGTATCTTTTTTTTTATCCAGTCAAGTCCAGGGGAGGGTGTTCTTGGTGAACCACTTAGGGTGATATGCAAACTGTAAGCTAGGGAATCTCACCTCACATCAGCCATGGATGGACTGAGTACCTGATGGTTTTCCTCATCATGAACATTGTTTCATGCATCAAACTGTGTGGTAAAGTAGTTCAGCACATTTGGGAGGAAAGCATCACTGACAGCAGTGTCAGGGATGATCTGAATGCCCTGCCACATGCTCCACGTGTCCCTGTTGCCTTGGAAGTGACCATGGATTTTTCATGTGTATGTATGCTTAGCATCCCTGACGGTCCAGGACAGGTTGGCCCTCACAGTCCCATCTGAAGACATGGCAGGTTTTCAGCGGCACGTCGACCTGTGTAGTCATTCAAGGTTTCAGGCTGGCTCGCGCTCTAATGGACTTGGAGACCATTACATCATCTGTGCAGTCGCTGGTATTTCCAGTCACAGATGCTGCATCCTCTGAGGTGACCGTAGGAAGGAGCCTCCTTGAACATAGAACAATCTGCATGATCTAAACAGTCCTGCCGTGCCAAAGCAGCTCCTTCTGGCCGTATTCTGATACTCGTCACAGCCAGTTTAGCACGTTTGATCAGCGGTCTGGATGCTGGAGTCAGCATTACAGAAATGTGGCCTGAGTGGTTGAGGCAGGGGGCAGTTTGTAGCTGTGTATGTGTGGCAGATGTTCGTATAAACAAGGCCCAGTGTGTTCACCTCTGTCTACAAAGTTAACATTGTGATATGCGAAGCTCACTCGAGATTTGCATGCTTGAGATCACCCATGACGACTAAAAGCTGCCGAGGTAACCCATTTGCAGTTGGCTAATGGTTTCACAGTGAACATACTCCCTCAGTGTTGGCGCTGGTAGGGATGAACGCTGCCTGAACTCTTATATGGCCGGCATTTTTAACTTTAGCAGCAGGGAGGAGTGTGATTAAGGAGTTGCACCAAAAAAGCTTAATGTCTCTTGGGGGGTTACTTCTGTTGTACCTTTGAACAGGCTATTTAAAGCAGGTTTCTATATAATTGGGTAAAACTAAGTTATGCAAAGTTTTGCATTTAAAGTACTTATATCCATCTGTCTTCTGACCACTTATCCTGGCCAGGGTCATGGGCTTATAGAAATAGTATTATAACTATATAATACAGAGATATAATGGGTTATTTATGAGTACTTCTGAGTGTCTGTAATTAGTTCTTTAAATGCATCAACAGCAATGGCAGTTAGCAGCAAAGTACATTACATCTCTAAGGCAGCGTAGATGGGAGCCTTTTAAGGGGTATTTTTGTGCGCTGATGCATGGTGCAGGAATCAAGCGGCATAGTGCGTGACCCGTTCATCCGTTGCCCTCGTTGATCATTGGGTAACTGGGGAGACGGGGTCTTCATTATCAGGAGCATCTGCGTATGCTGCGGGCCGAGCAAAGATCAAAGTATCCAGCGAAGGGTAGGCAGTGGGCTGCAGCGGCCACAGGACTCTGCAAAGGGTAGGCAGTGGGCTGCAGTGGACACAGGAGCCTGCGAAGGGTAGGCAGTGGGCTGCAGTGGACACAGGAGCCTGCGAAGGGTAGGCAGTGGGCTGCAGTGGACACAGGAGCATGCG